GGCTGCTGGAATTCTCTCGGTTCATATGAAGCTAGTAGTCCTTATGTGTCAATTTTATGTGTATCGAAATGGATGTATAAAGAATGCTGGAACTAATTTCTGGTGCTAGGCTGTGAGTGGATAAGTTCATATTTTCAAAAATCACCCACTTTCTGAAAAAATAAAAGATTTTTTTGTTTGGTAATTTTGGTACATATGCTCACGTCGTGTCCACTGGATTATAGATAACAGTGACTTGATTTTCAGGACCGATTCCAAGATGCTCCTGTGCAGTGGCCAGTGATCGCTCGAACGTTTCAACGCTACCAATGTAAAAATACGGAGTAATCTGCAGAAATTCACGCTGTTAGCAAAAGTAGTAAAGGAAAATGTTGCAATATATCAAACACATGTCTCCTCGAAATAGCTTCTCTTATGCGTTGCAAGTGTCCTTGCCCTTATCCCCTCGCATACTTCATCCATCATACAGCTGACCGTTCAAAAAACATCGCTAAGAACCCAAAGATGCTTTAAAAAAATAAAAGCGGTCAGCCAAAATTTCTTTCGCTTCCAGTAATTTAATCTTCTACGGCTTCCACCAATTTCTGCTGTTGATTTTGAGAAACTTGACACTTCTGTGCTGAGCGAATCGATCAAAAAAAAAAAAAAAAACATCTTGATATTAATACACAACAGCACATTTCTAGGAGGACAAAAACTCACCCCAACAGACGCATCATTTCGTACTTTTACTTCCACCCATGTCCGATGCACTATCAATCGTTCGACCTAAGATAATATTGGAGTTAGTTTGTGAGAAACATAAATTATTTTTTGAAAAATCGCCTATTTTCGAATTTTAGCTGTGAAAACGCCAGCAGAAAAAAAAACTAGTAATTTGCTAAACTCCAGCTCAGTGGCTTTTGTAAAAGGTGAAGAATTTCCGCTAAATTCACTAATGAATTTGAGTGTATTCCTAGTTTCTCGGCCAGTAAAAATCACAACGAAATTCCTGGGCAATCCAGCTTTTTCTGAGCTCAGAAAGCTGATAACTCTGCTTCATCAAGCCAAGTTGACTGGGAGCCTGCTTCTTACGCGAATGGTTATGAGTATGATATAAATAATAAATAAATCTTTAGCGAAACTAAGAAAGCCCCTTTCCCCAAAAAAAGCTATATAACAGCCATTTATAACAATATTCGCTAAAAAACCGATGAATGCATGTGTCTGATGCGTTCATACGAAACCAAGAGCACAAAAAAAGTGCTACTTCCTGACCCCCCCC